ATAGCGGGTTGGTTTGGGCGAGTAGGATGGCATGGAGTTGGGCGGTAGGGCGGGTGAGTGCGTCGGCGATGTTGGATGCGCCTTTTTTGTACGTAACCGTGTAGTGGAAGTTGGACTCGAGGTAGTCCAGCCAACGAATCTGTCGCGGATTGAGATTTGGTTGGGCACGCAGGTACTGTAGCGATCGGTGGTCTGTCCGTACTGTCACGTCGGCGCCAGTCAGGTAACACCGCCAAACCTTGAACGCGTGCACGATCGCCAACATTTTGCGGTCATGTATCGGGTAGTTGCGTTCGGGCGGGTGCAGCTTGCGGGACTCGTACGCGATTGGCTGGAGGCCGTTCCCGAAATCCTGCAACAATACTGCTCCCACAGCGATGTCACTTGCGTCGGTGACGAGCTCGGACAGACGGTGCGGATTGGCGATGTGAAGTACAGGCGGTGAGCACAAAATGTTTTTGAGGGACGAGAAGGCAGCTTGCTCTTTCTCCCCCCACGTGTACTCAACCCCCTTCCTCAGCAGGTCGGCCAGCGGGGCAGTCAGCTTCGCCATGTCGGGGACGAACCGGCGCACGTAGTTGACGAACCCCAAAAAACTCTGCAACTCGGTCAAGTTGGTCGGCGCGTGCCAGGCTTGAATTGTCGCGATTTTTTTCGGGTCTATTTCCACTCCTACAGCTGAAATAACGTGTCCTAAAAACTCCAGGCGGTCCTGTAAAAACTCACACTTAGACACTTTTGTCAGTAGGCGGTTCTCACTCAGTATCTTAAAAACTGTTTCGATGTCCTGTAAGTGCTGTGCTCTGTCAGGGCTGTAGATCAGTATGTCGTCCAGGTATACGATGACACACTTATCTAAAAGCGGGCGGAAAGCTTCGTTCATGGTCATTTGAAAAGTGGCAGGGGCGTTGGTCAGTCCGAATGGCATGACAGTGTATTCGAAGGATCCGTAGCGTGTGCGAAATGCGGTCTTAGGGCAGTCGGGCGGATTGACGCGAATCTGGTGGTAACCCCCTCGGAGGTCGATTTTTGAGAAACCCGGGCTTTGCGCAGTTGGTCGATCAGTTCGTCGGCTCGCGGGATGGGGTAACGGGATTTGATGGTAACCCTGTTCAGTGCTCTGTAATCTATGCACATGCGAAATCCCCCGTCATTTTTCGGTGTGAACAGTATCGGTGCTGCGAAGGGTGACGAACTAGGGCGAATGAATTCCTTCTCGAGCAGGTAATCCAGCTGCTTCCTCAGTTCGTCCAGTTCGGGTTGGGTCAGTCGAAACTATCGCTGTACTGTCGGCTGTGCCCCCGGTTCTAACTCTATCCTGTGGTCGTGCGGTCGCTGAGGTGGCAGTCCCGTTGGCAGGTCTGTACTGCTTCAGGAGTGCTGCCAAGTCATCCGGTACGTCGGCAAGCAGTTTCTGTAAATCCCCTCCCTGGTCTGCTGCTTCGGCTTCCCGAATGTCAACCGCATACACGTCAGCTCCTCCCGCTACGGCGCGCTTCATTGTGATCGCATTGACACGCACCGACGAAGACTCAGGCGAGCCCCAGCGAGGTAAGGCGATGTTGTTACCGTTCACTCGCACGGTGCAGTCACCCGTCGTCCAGTCGATTCGCGGATTGTGTCGTCGCAACCAATCCCGACCGAGTAAAATGTCGGTTCCGTCGAGGGTCGTCGCGAGCATTTCCTGGCTAAACGTGAAGTTACCCCCACATCGAATCTGAACCCGGTCTACGTGTTCCCGTATCGCCAGCGGCGTGACGTCTACCAATCTTGCGTCGATCTCAGGTAAACATCTGTCCCGTGGCAGTCGCAGTTTTCGTGCTGGGGCAGTGTTGATAAGGCTGTGGCTGGCCCCTCCGTCTACGAATATTTTAACTAAGTCAGTCCCGATTTTCCCACTAAGCAGTATAGGGCTGTCTACCGTAGTACCCTCCTTATTCGGCCGAGTGTGGTCGATTGCGTGAACCGGCACAATCACTCAGTGAGGGTCGGTTGGGTTGGGCGATCGGCGTGACCTGTCAGTAGAGGGCCCGTCTGCTACTGACTTCCAGCGTTTCCCTGCTGCTTGGTCTGTTTCTGCTGCTCAGCTTCCCCCTTTCCCTTAGCGTTTTCCGGGCATTCGCTCTTGCGATGTCCCGGCCGATTGCACGCAAAGCAGCGCCCTTTGAACGGTGCGGCAGCGGCATTTGCGGTGACGGCACGTATCGTGGCGCCCTCGTTCGTCCCACGAGACCGATGTCCCCAATGGTTGCTTCCGTAGGACCCCGGTCTCGGTCGGCGGAAGAAGTCAAGTTTCTCCGCCATAGCTAGAATTTCTTGAAAGTCGGTGACGCCGCGAAGCTGGATTTCCTGAGCAATGTCCTGCTTTAGGCCGCCGATGTAGCGGTCGATGCGCTCGCTCTCGTGCATATATCCCACCTGCTCGCATAGCGCCAGAAATCCGCTCGTGTAGTCTTGGACGGAACCAAGTTGGCGCCAAGTGCGGAGCTTCTGTCGCGCCGCGATCGAAGCCGCGATTGGCTCGAAACGAGCGCGCAGACCTGCGCACCACGCGTCCCACGTGCGATACTGGGGCACCTCCACGAAATACGACGGCGCCCAGGGTCCGGTTTGTCCTTCCCGTGTCGGTAGAGTCGCGTAGTCCATCGGCTTCGTGACGATGACGCGCCACCAATCCATGGCGGGTCCTCGCAGCAGCGACACGGCGTAGCGAATTTTCGCCGTATACTCCGAGACGTAGTTGGCGTCGAAAAATACGTTCATCGTGAACAACCACGTCTGAACAGTAGGACCACCCCTTTGACTGGGATCGAAGCATGGCGGACGCTGCGGCTTCAGCGGCATCGATGACGGCAGTGCCGAATCGTCGGTTGGTGCCGAAATTGTGACGCGTGGCTGGCTTCGGGCCGCATTCGTCGCTTCGGGGTGTGTCGTGCCGTGGTCGTCGTCTGCGTCGGGGCGGACGACGCCATCACTGGCCGCGCTGGCGGGTTGCCCCACGCTTCCGTGTTGTGATGCTTGTGGTGCGGGTTGTTCCGGAGTGCCAGGTGCTTGAGATTGTGCTTGCTGTGCTCGTGTGAGATCATTTTGCAGGGACGAGCGTTCTGCCGTCAGCGTCGCGATTTCCTCGGCGCTCTCGCGGATTTGCCGCAACAGTTCGTTCAAGTGCTCCTGCGTGAGAGTCGTGATATCAATATGCTCGGCCATTTCGAAGGGCGTCGGCTCGTCTTAGTCTAGGCGCAGTCGTGGTTGCACGCGTTTACGAGAGAACGCGAGGACAGCGGCTCCTACGTGCTAAGGTGCGTGAGTCCCTTCGAGTGAAAATCAAAAGTTGATTTCCTGGGGTGCGAGGATGCGAGGTCTGAAAAAGAAAGAGGCTATGAATACCAAGTGTTACGGGTGCAATGGATCGAGGTAGCGAGGATTGCACTAAGGTGTCAAACGAGTACAAAATGTGAGCGAAGGCATGAGCGAACATTTATATGCGAAACATGCAAACGGTAACGCGGTGCGTGCGAGCTAGCTAGTGCTATGCTGGCAGCGAGGCTCGGGCTTGTCCCGAAGCGTAGGCCGACGCGGCCGGGCCAGCAGTGCGAGGTTTGGAAAAACAGTGCGCGCGAAGTTGGCGAAGCCCCGTCAGCAGTAACGGGCGAACAACGGCTGTTGCTGTACGCGATGTAGTCGGACTCCGTAAGGAATGCCGAGAAAATTCCTTACACACCTTCACCCTTTCAGAAAGAACCGCGAGCCTTCCCGCACGGGCAAAGGTTTAGCCCTCGCCTAGCCTAACCCTCGCCCCCCAAAAGTGTGGTTTGCCAAAGGGCTCGTCAAGTGTTTGCAGTGGGAGGGACACCCACTCCGTGGACCCAAAAAAAACCCAAGTGAACCAGTTTTCTTGAAAAAAATATCCCATTCGAAAACCTCCCTTAGCGATTTGTGGGGATGGCCTATTGTTTTCCGGCGTTGTTACCTAGACCCCTTTAACAAGTGGCCCAAAATTTTTACACAGCCCGCGATGACCCAGATTGAAGGGGGGAGGAAGCTTCGCCTTGTGGGCCACGCTCCTTCCGATCTCCAGGGGCGAGGCTTCCGATTGTGGTGGGCGGTCGATCAGCTCAGGGAAATTGCGCTGAGCCTTCCCCTTAACACTAGCCTAACACCCGCCTGTTGCAAAGTGTTAGCCTGTCGAACAGGGCCTTTGTCTACTTGGTGAGTTTCTCTATAAGTACCTTCATCTCGAGAAGAGGCTTGACTGGAAGCAGCATCATTATTGGGTATGTCGAGCGCCGTGGGACAATGAGAGTGCAGAATGCAGGCAGCCCTATCAGAGCACGGAGTGGAGTGGAGACGATTATGGGAGCCGCGTCTGCAGCTTAGATTTCGGGCGTCGCAAAGATTATGGGCGCGGACTTGGAACATTCGTTGCTTGCTGGTAAGCAACTCTTGAGAGCTCGTGCGCATGGGTGTTCGGCGTAGATATGGGCGTCCCGGCCGAGAACTATTTTGTGCCGCGCGGGACCGTGATTATGTGCGAGCGAGAGCGCAATTATTGGCGCGCAACGAGAGCTGCAGCAGCGCCATCGCAGCCACGCCAGCGAGAGTTGTACTGTCTCGCAGCACACGTCTGCCTGGGAGTGCGCGCTCAAAATACGCGCTCTCAAAAGCACACTACATACTTAGTAGTCGGCCTCCCATCGAGCATCGAGATCACGAACACGCACTCATCTGTGAGGCTCTCGTCTGTGAGATCGAGATCCCTCGTCGACTACTAGTTCCGGCACGTGCAGTCACATACGGCACAGCCAATTTTCTGCAACCCTGCCGTGTTGTATCAATCACACACGGTGTGTCTCGCCTCGCTTTGAATTGCATTAGTCCGTCGCTTCCAAAGCTCCTGTCCACCCCGCGGCGCGCTGCGGAATCGCCGTTTTTTGTGCTACGACGCTTGTGCTACCACGCCTCGCCGGTATCCCCGCCGCTCGCCACCAGCACTCGCGATGATGACGAGGGACAGTCATTCCAAAGTCGCAGCGGCGCTACTCGTCGCCGTCATCCTCATTGGTACGCCTCCCTCCCTCGTCGCCTCCCGAGTTGACCTCCCGAGTTGACCGCCCGATTTGACTTTTGAGTTGACTCAAAACTCAACTCGCAGCGGCGCTGCTCGTCGTCGCCATCCTCATTGGTACGCCTCCCTCTCCCGATGCTCCTGAGAAGTGAACTTTTGAAAAGGGAAATCCTGCCATAGGCTGGACATCCATCATGGCCCCCGTGCCTGACTTTTGCCCAGCCCAGTGAGCCGTCCTGCCTTTGTTGGCGTTCCGCTTTCCGCGTGTTCCCAACGTGTGAGGTGGCACTGTCGCTGTGCCTGACAGGCCGGGCACGGTTCACTCGCAACTTTTCTTTACCGCGACCGACTTTTGCCCTTACCCATGTGAATCTTCACTGTCTCAACCTTCCCCCTTGCGCATGTGACTTTCCTCGCAGTGAGTGAGACCACAGTCTCGCTGGGAGCACCTGCCGCGCACGAAACGACTGCCACTGCTGGCGGCGGCAGCAGCAGCGACTTCACTGATACCACGGGCGCAAGCAACCCGACAATTGCCCGTGGTATTAGGGGCGCGGTGAGCGCGGCGGCGCGCGACACGGTGAGCGCGGAGCTGCGCGTGGGCACGGTGGTGCTCGCCGCGCTCCGTCTCCTTCGACCTGGGGCTCTGCGTGCCCGTGCCCGATATCGCGGGCGCGAGCGGCGGCTTGGCAAGCGGCGCGGTGGACGCGCTGGTGTGGTGGGACGTGTTTTCGGATCGCACGGTGTGCAACACGGTGCAGCTGTTCGCGTCGCCTGATTGCTCAGGTGCTGCGGTGGCGAAATACCCGTTTGCAGGGTACATGAGGTGAGAAGTACCTATTTTCAGGGCACAGAGGCAGCTAAATAGCCAATTCCCCTCATGCCCTTGTGCACCCATTTCCCACTCTCCAACCCACCCCACCCACCCACACCCCTTCGCGTGCCCTCGCCTCCCCTCTCCCATTCGCCCCTTTGCCGGTGCACATGTGACCAGTGCAATCAAACCCTTACCCTATCCGCCTCTCCCCACGTCCTGAACCGTCCTCCCAACCCCCCACCGCCCCCCACCCGCTGTGTGTGTGTGAACGAAGCAAACCCAACCCCCCCTCCCGTGCGCCCCTCCCTCTGTGCGTGTGTGAGCAGTCCCATCAAGCTGCGCGCATCTGTAAAGTCCATCCGCTGCGTTATCAGTGCGTACCCTGCTGCTGCCACCACGCTTCTGCTGCCACCATGCTTCTGCTGCCACCATGCTTCTGCTGCTATTGCCATCTGTTTTCCCGCGTTCCCTGCTGCTGCCATGCGTTGGTCTTGCTACTGCATCCATCACCATTCATGCCCTGCTGCCACCTTACTTCTGCTGCACCATGCTTCTGCTGCTACTGCCATCTATTTCCCTGGGTGCCCTGCTGCTGCCATGCATCGGCCTTTCTGTTGCTCCTGCCATCTATCCCCGTGCATGCCGTGATGCTACCATGCATTGAGATAACTGCTGCATATATCGCCATTCATGCCCTGCTGCTACCAAGCTTCTGCTGCTATTACCACCATTTTCCGTGGGTGCCCTGCTGCTACCATGCATGATGCTGCATGCTGAGCAGCGCTGCTGCCATCTGTGCCCTTCTACTGCTATTACCCTTTATTTCCCTGCGTGCCGATTTTTTAGTCGACTCAAAAATCGACTCAGCACATGCTGCTACCATGCATGATGCTGCATGCTGAGCAGCAGTCGCTGCTGCCATCTGTGCCCTTCTGCTGACATGGATGCACCTTTTGCTGACATGCCTGCACCTTTTGCTGACATGCCTGCACCTTTTGCTGACATGCCTGCACCTTTTGCTGACATGCCTGCACCTTTTGCTGACATGCCTGCACCTTTTGCTGACATGCCTGCACCTTTTGCTGACATGCCTGCACCTTTTGCTGACATGCCTGCACCTTTTGCTGCCATGCCTGCACCTTTTGCTGACATGCCTGCACCTTTTGCTGACATGCCTGCACCTTTTGCTGACATGCCTGCACCTTTTGCTGACATGCCTGCACCTTTTGCTGACATGCCTGCACCTTTTGCTGACATGCCTGCACCTTTTGCTGACATGCCTGCACCTTTTGCTGACATGCCTGCACCTTTTGCTGCCATGCCTGCACCTTTTGCTGCCATGCCTGCACCTTTTGCTGCCATGCCTGCACCTTTTGCTGACATGCCTGCACCTTTTGCTGACATGCCTGCACCTTTTGCTGACATGCCTGCACCTTTTGCTGACATGCCTGCACCTTTTGCTGACATGCCTGCACCTTTTGCTGCCATGCCTGCACCTTTTGCTGACATGCCTGCACCTTTTGCTGCCATGCCTGCACCTTTTGCTGACATGCCTGCACCTTTTGCTGACATGCCTGCACCTTTTGCTGACATGCCTGCACCTTTTGCTGACATGCCTGCACCTTTTGCTGACATGCCTGCACCTTTTGCTGACATGCCTGCACCTTTTGCTGACATGCCTGCACCTTTTGCTGACATGCCTGCACCTTTTGCTGACATGCCTGCATCTTTTGCTGCCATGCCTGCACCTTTTGCTGACATGCCTGCACCTTTTGCTGACATGCCTGCACCTTTTGCTGCCATGCCTGCACCTTTTGCTGCCATGCCTGCACCTTTTGCTGACATGCCTGCACCTTTTGCTGACATGCCTGCACCTTTTGCTGACATGCCTGCACCTTTTGCTGCCATGCCTGCACCTTTTGCTGCCATGCCTGCACCTTTTGCTGACATGCCTGCACCTTTTGCTGACATGCCTGCACCTTTTGCTGACATGCCTGCACCTTTTGCTGACATGCCTGCACCTTTTGCTGCCATGCCTGCACCTTTTGCTGACATGCCTGCACCTTTTGCTGCCATGCCTGCACCTTTTGCTGACATGCCTGCACCTTTTGCTGACATGCCTGCACCTTTTGCTGCCATGCCTGCACCTTTTGCTGCCATGCCTGCACCTTTTGCTGACATGCCTGCACCTTTTGCTGCCATGCCTGCACCTTTTGCTGCCATGCCTGCACCTTTTGCTGACATGCCTGCACCTTTTGCTGACATGCCTGCACCTTTTGCTGACATGCCTGCACCTTTTGCTGACATGCCTGCACCTTTTGCTGACATGCCTGCACCTTTTGCTGCCATGCCTGCACCTTTTGCTGACATGCCTGCACCTTTTGCTGACATGCCTGCACCTTTTGCTGCCATGCCTGCACCTTTTGCTGCCATGCCTGCACCTTTTGCTGACATGCCTGCACCTTTTGCTGACATGCCTGCACCTTTTGCTGACATGCCTGCACCTTTTGCTGACATGCCTGCACCTTTTGCTGACATGCCTGCACCTTTTGCTGCCATGCCTGCACCTTTTGCTGCCATGCCTGCACCTTTTGCTGACATGCCTGCACCTTTTGCTGACATGCCTGCACCTTTTGCTGACATGCCTGCACCTTTTGCTGACATGCCTGCACCTTTTGCTGACATGCCTGCACCTTTCGCTGACATGCCTGCACCTTTTGCTGCCATGCCTGCACCTTTTGCTGCCATGCCTGCACCTTTTGCTGACATGCCTGCACCTTTTGCTGCCATGCCTGCACCTTTTGCTGACATGCCTGCACCTTTTGCTGACATGCCTGCACCTTTTGCTGCCATGCCTGCACCTTTTGCTGCCATGCCTGCACCTTTTGCTGACATGCCTGCACCTTTTGCTGACATGCCTGCACCTTTTGCTGACATGCCTGCACCTTTTGCTGACATGCCTGCACCTTTTGCTGACATGCCTGCACCTTTTGCTGACATGCCTGCACCTTTTGCTGACATGCCTGCACCTTTTGCTGCCATGCCTGCACCTTTTGCTGACATGCCTGCACCTTTTGCTGCCATGCCTGCACCTTTTGCTGACATGCCTGCACCTTTTGCTGCCATGCCTGCACCTTTTGCTGACATGCCTGCACCTTTTGCTGCCATGCCTGCACCTTTTGCTGCCATGCCTGCACCTTTTGCTGACATGCCTGCACCTTTTGCTGCCATGCCTGCACCTTTTGCTGCCATGCCTGCACCTTTTGCTGACATGCCTGCACCTTTTGCTGCCATGCCTGCACCTTTTGCTGACATGCCTGCACCTTTTGCTGCCATGCCTGCACCTTTTGCTGCCATGCCTGCACCTTTTGCTGACATGCCTGCACCTTTTGCTGACATGCCTGCACCTTTTGCTGCCATGCCTGCACCTTTTGCTGCCATGCCTGCACCTTTTGCTGACATGCCTGCACCTTTTGCTGCCATGCCTGCACCTTTTGCTGCCATGCCTGCACCTTTTGCTGACATGCCTGCACCTTTTGCTGCCATGCCTGCACCTTTTGCTGCCATGCCTGCACCTTTTGCTGCCATGCCTGCACCTTTTGCTGCCATGCCTGCACCTTTTGCTGCCATGCCTGCACCTTTTGCTGACATGCCTGCACCTTTTGCTGCCATGCCTGCACCTTTTGCTGCCATGCCTGCACCTTTTGCTGACATGCCTGCACCTTTTGCTGCCATGCCTGCACCTTTTGCTGACATGCCTGCACCTTTTGCTGCCATGCCTGCACCTTTTGCTGCCATGCCTGCACCTTTTGCTGACATGCCTGCACCTTTTGCTGACATGCCTGCACCTTTTGCTGCCATGCCTGCACCTTTTGCTGCCATGCCTGCACCTTTTGCTGACATGCCTGCACCTTTTGCTGACATGCCTGCACCTTTTGCTGCCATGCCTGCACCTTTTGCTGACATGCCTGCACCTTTTGCTGCCATGCCTGCACCTTTTGCTGACATGCCTGCACCTTTTGCTGACATGCCTGCACCTTTTGCTGCCATGCCTGCACCTTTTGCTGCCATGCCTGCACCTTTTGCTGACATGCCTGCACCTTTTGCTGCCATGCCTGCACCTTTTGCTGCCATGCCTGCACCTTTTGCTGACATGCCTGCACCTTTTGCTGCCATGCCTGCACCTTTTGCTGCCATGCCTGCACCTTTTGCTGACATGCCTGCACCTTTTGCTGCCATGCCTGCACCTTTTGCTGCCATGCCTGCACCTTTTGCTGACATGCCTGCACCTTTTGCTGACATGCCTGCACCTTTTGCTGACATGCCTGCACCTTTTGCTGACATGCCTGCACCTTTTGCTGACATGCCTGCACCTTTTGCTGCCATGCCTGCACCTTTTGCTGACATGCCTGCACCTTTTGCTGACATGCCTGCACCTTTTGCTGACATGCCTGCACCTTTTGCTGCCATGCCTGCACCTTTTGCTGCCATGCCTGCACCTTTTGCTGACATGCCTGCACCTTTTGCTGACATGCCTGCACCTTTTGCTGACATGCCTGCACCTTTTGCTGACATGCCTGCACCTTTTGCTGACATGCCTGCACCTTTTGCTGCCATGCCTGCACCTTTTGCTGACATGCCTGCACCTTTTGCTGACATGCCTGCACCTTTTGCTGCCATGCCTGCACCTTTTGCTGACATGCCTGCACCTTTTGCTGACATGCCTGCACCTTTTGCTGACATGCCTGCACCTTTTGCTGACATGCCTGCACCTTTTGCTGCCATGCCTGCACCTTTTGCTGCCATGCCTGCACCTTTTGCTGACATGCCTGCACCTTTTGCTGCCATGCCTGCACCTTTTGCTGACATGCCTGCACCTTTTGCTGACATGCCTGCACCTTTTGCTGCCATGCCTGCACCTTTTGCTGCCATGCCTGCACCTTTTGCTGACATGCCTGCAC